ATTTTTTGGTTGCAGCCATCATTGTTGTTTGGCAGGCCCAGGCTGGGGATTCAAACTGGTCACGTTAGGTGTATGTGGCTGGCACCTTAGCCGCTTGAGCCACAGGCGCCGAGCCCCAAATGCCCATTCTTAAAGCTCACTAACTCTTTCTTTTGCTTGGTTAATTCTCCTGTTAAAAGACTCTGGTGAATTTCTCAATTTGTGAATTCTTTTCTTTTGGAGACAGAGTCTCATCACTCTATAGCCCTGGATAGAGTGCTATGCCCTCTTAGCTCACAACAACCTCAAACTCTTTGGCTCATGTGATCCTTTTGTCTCAGCCTTCCAAGTAGCTGGGTCTAGAGGTGCATACCACAACACCCGGCTAGTTTTTTATTTTTAGTAGAGATGAGGTCTTGCTCTCGCTCAGGCTGATTTCTAACTCCGGAGCTCAGACAATCCATTCATCACAGCCTCCCAAAGTGCTGGGATTGCAGGCATGAGCTGCCATGCCCAGCATTGTCAAGTTAATTCTTAAGTCCTAGAATTTCAGCTTGATTTTTTGTATTATTTTAATCTCTTCATTAAATTTCCCTGATAGGCTTCTGAATTCCTTCTTTGCAGTGTGTTGAAGTTCATCAATTATCCAGGACAGCATGACCTTTTTCTCAAAGTTCACCTGTCTTTTACTCTAGGATTGGTCACTTGGACCTTTATTTAAGTTCATTGGTGAGGTTATGTTCCTCAAGAACATCCAGGAACTCTTTCTTGTTTCAACCTGTTCTTCTTAAGGCTTTCCAGTTTCTTAAATGGAATTGAGTGATATCATCTAAGTCTCTAGACACTGCAGCTGTGTCAGCATTGGTGGTGCCCCAAGCCAGGTAATAACTCTTTCAGACTTAGACTCCTGGTGGCTTTGTTTTTGTTGACTTGGGTAAGATACAGGAGAATTCCCTGGATCATCAGGCAAAGTCTCTCACTTTCTCTGCTAGACTGCAGAAGTTTGGGGAGGAGTGAAATGGGGACTTCCTTGTGGCACTAGCACCAAGTCACATCTGAGCCAACCTGATCTCACCTGAAGCCTGTTGCCGTGCTATCTGTGATGTTTATTCAAAGCCCAAAGTCTCTTTAGTCAGCAGCTGGTGAATCCTGCCATGACTAGGTCCTTCTCTTCAAAGCAGCAGATTGCCTGCTGGCCTTGGGTGGGTCCAGAAAGGCCTTTCGGGAACTAAGGCCTGGACTCCAGGGCCTCAGGAGTCTGCTTGGTACTTTGTTTAACTGTGGCTGAGCTGGTACCAAATATGCAAAACAAAGTCCTCTGAACTCTTCCCTTTCCTTTCCCTAAGTTGAGGGGGTGGGGGAGAGGTAACACAGGCATTGGTTTGCCTGCAGCAGCTGGTATCTCTCTGGGTCATGTGTACCCCAAGTCAGCTGACAAGCCAGCACAGCCAAGGAGTTGACCAAGGACTGAAGCTTTTGTGGCCTGACTGCCTTATGAATTTAGTCTAAGCCCTAGCCTGCTTTTTCTCAACCAGTCATGGGGTTAGTAAGAATTCAGATTTTAGACAGAGGATTTCCCTCTGACAAGGCTGTTCTAAATGCTCTCTTTGTGGGCACTAGCAGAATTCTGCCTGTGCTGTGTTCCCCTGTGCAAGGGCTGCCCTCAGTTTCAATGCAAAGTCCCAGAATCACTTAACTTTCTCTCCCCTAGGCCCACAGATTCTTTCTCCACTTGGCATGCTAGTATGGCACTACCGAGAGATGAGGACGGGTGGCATAGGCAATGTGAGATGGTCTTTTCAGTCCTTTTCATTTCTCTTTCCTTGATCCAGATAATATGATCACTTGGTTATGTGGATAGTTGTTGAATTTGGTGTTTGGGGGGAGGCACAGTGGCTGGAAGTTTCTATTCTAGTATCTTACTCTGCTTACCCTCACAGTGCATTTCTAAGAATGTATCCCTGTGAATAAGCAATACATGACTGTACTCAATTCTAATTGCTACTAGGTTTATTTTTGTACAATTTGATTTTAAGAATATTTTTTAAACTTACAATTTTATTGAGGTACACATATAATCTACATGTCATAAAATTCACCTGTATCTGGCATACAATTCAATGATTTTTGATCAGTTTATCAAATTTGTAGCCAATCATCATAATCTACTTTCCTTGTCATTGTTCTTTTCTGATTCTATTTTCAAATGCCCATTCTTTTTTTTTTTTTTTTTTTTTGTAGAGACACAGTTTCACTTTATTGCCCTCAGTAGAGTGCCGTGGCATCACACAGCTCACAGCAACCTCAAACTCCTGAGCTTAGGCAATTCTCTTGCCTCAGCCTCCCAAGTAGCTGGGACTACAAGCACCTGCCACAATGCCTGGCTGTTTTGTTGTTGTTGTTTCAGTTTGGTCAGGGCCGGGTTTGAACCTGCCACCCTTGGTATATGGGGCCGGCGCCCTGCCCACTGAGCCACAGGTGCTGCCCAACTTTAAGAAAATTTTCATCACCACAGTATGATCCCTCTTACTTATTCACAATTAATCCAACCTTGAGCTCTGTGCAGCCACTAATCTTCTTTTTCTGGATATTTCATATAATAAAAATACATTTATCTAATGAACCACCTAAGGAGTTTAGTACATGATATATGATATAAAATTTTTCATGCCTATAGTCCCAGCTACTTGGGAGACTGAGGCAAGGTAATCCCTTAAGCCCAAGAGTTTGAGGTTGCTGTTAGCTGTGATGCAGCAGCACTCTACTGAGGGCGACATAATTAGACTGTCTCAAAAAATTTTTTTTCCTATAAATAAAATCTTTTTTTTGTATAAATAGAATCTTAATATATTCATTTTCAAATTATAGACTTTTCTGAATTCCAGTTATTACTGTGCCTATATAACCTTTGGTATGATAATTGAAACCATAATAAGACATTAAAAAGTTATTATTTTGATTATCATGATTGTTCTTATGATTAATAATGATAATGCCTAAATTTTTATCATAAATAAGCACAGGAGAACATAAACATTTAATTTCTTGATGTCTTTCAGACTCAGGGCCTAAATGTGACACCAGGAAGTTACCTCCAAATGAATTCGACAAACCTGGGCCAAGCACCTCTCAGAAACCAGTTTCTGCACAACAGAAAGTTCCTACAGGAAAGAAGAGCGCTAATAAAAATTCAGTCCTAAAAAAACCCAAGAAAGGGCATGCAGGGAAGAAATCATTCAAGTGCAAAGACTGTGGGAAAACTTATAATCATAGCATCTCTCTCAAACTTCATCAAAACACTCACACTGCAGAGCGGCCTTATGAATGCAGTCATTGCAGAAAAGTTTTCAGGCAGGTCTCCTCTCTCATTCTTCATCAGAGAATGCATGATGGAAAGAAAAGCCATGAATGTGATAAATGTGGAGAAAGCTTCAAACAAAGAACAACTTTTCTTCTACATAAGAGAATTCATGACGAGAAGAAAACCTTTGACCGTCCAACAACTTCAACTCAATACGTCTGTATCACTCTAAATGAGAAATTTCGCATTATTGAGACTGTCCACAAGTGTAAAAAATGCGGGAAAGGCTTTGGTCGGTTGTCATCCCTTTTACTTCACAAGAAAATTCACAATGAAAAGAAGCAGTATGAAAGCAAGCAGTGTGGGAAAAGCTTCAAGAAGAAATCAGTCTTTGTTACACATAAAAAAATTCATTCTGGAGAGAAAACCCTTGCAAGTGAGAAGGCTTTAAGTCAGAATCTACAGCAGAAACATGAGCATCCACACAATCCTTATAAATGCAAAAAATGTGGGAAATCCTTTAATAGGATTTCACCCCTTATGCTTCATCAGAGAATTCACACTTCAAAGAAACCCTACAAATGTGATAAATGTGAGAAGACCTTCAGGCGATTTTCAACCCTTGTTCTGCATCGAAGAGTTCATAAGGGAGAGAAAGTACACCGGTGCAAGAAGTGTGACAAGGTCTACAATCGGCATTCAGCCTTGATTCAACACCAGAAGACTCATCTGAGGAAAAAGAAAGTGTTTGAGTGTAAAGAATGTGGGAAGAAGTTTTGTGGAATTGCAAACCTTAAAGTGCATCAGAACATTCATTCTGAAGACAAACCTTTCAAGTGCAACAAATGCAGTAAAGTTTTTGGCCGCCAGTCATTTCTTATTGAACATCAGAGAATTCATACAGGAGAAAAACCCTACCAGTGTGAGGAATGTGGGAAAGCCTTCAGTCACCGAATATCACTAACTCGACATAAGAGAATTCACACTGAAGACAGACCCTATGAATGTGATGAGTGTGGGAAGGCCTTCAGCCAGAGTGCACACCTTGCCCAACATGAGAGAATTCACACTGGAGAGAAGCCATATACATGCAAAACATGCGGAAAATCCTTCAGTCAGCGCACATCCCTTATACTACATGAAAGAAGTCACACTGGAGAGAAACCCTATGAATGTAACGAGTGTGGGAAGGCATTTTGCAGTGGCTCCGACCTCATTCGACATCAGAGAAGTCATTCTTCAGAGAAACCCTACGAGTGCAGTAAATGTGGGAAAGCATATAGCCGGAGCTCTTCCCTGCTTCGTCACCAGAATACCCATTCTGAAGAAAAAAAGTAAAGTCATTTTAAATCTAGAAAAGTGAAGACTGAAGCTATCAAAGGAGCAGAGTGAGAGGTAT